ACTTTAACTTAATAAATCAAAATATGTATGTATTAAATAATAATTGATTCTTCAATCTTCAATATTTTCAGGATTATAAATTGAAATATTATTTTTTATTACTAGTATAAGAGAACTTCCTTCAATAGTTTTAGAAACACATGTTGTTATATGATATACAGATAAAAGAGATGTTGTATTTAAATTTCTATAACTATGTTTTGAATAATAATCATCAATATTAAAATAAAATAATTTATTTTTATTTTCTTTAAAATATTGATTTATCTTATTAAAATGATTATCTGATATATTCTTTTTATATTTTTCTACTGTTTTATAAGATACAGAAATTCCAAGTCTTGCCATTATATCAATAGATTTAGAAGTAGCACTACATAAAGATAAATAAAGTCCAATTTCTAATTAAAGAGAATTATTAAATTTATTTTTTAAACCAGATAATAAATAACAAAATCCAACAGGTGATTTTTTTCTATTTTCTATATTATTAATTTTTCTTTTGATGAAATAAAAATATCAACTAATTCATCAAAAAACCTTTTAATTGTGGTTCATCTTCTTCAATTATATTTTGAAATTTTTTAAGATCTAATTTAATTTCTAAATGTAATAGTCTTTGTCTTTTATATAAGCATTTTGATAATAATTTAATTTTTTCTTTTAATTAATTTAAATTATTTTTTCATATTTATTTATATCTTTTGCATATTTTTTATTTTATTATTAAAAGATCAAAATTATTTTATCATCATTATATTTAATATTTATATCAGACCATTTATTAAAATTTAATTTAATATTATTATCTAAATTTAAAATTGAGATAATTCACATTTTGTATAATCATCATCATTTCTAATATATATATCATTAAATTCTTCTGATTTTATTTTTTTATTTTTACTTCTTCTATCTGCTTCTACAATTGATAAATAATATGAAAAATATAACTGATCATTAATTTGAAGATAATTATAATTTTGATATGTATTAGCTTTTATAGCTTTTTCTTTACTTAATTAAGTAAATTTTCTAAATTTATATATATTTGGATCATTTTTATTACAATCCTTAACTTTACATAGATTATTATTAGAATTATTAGAATTCATTTTAGATATATTTGATATATACTTTGATTTTAAATAATGGATTTTTAAAAATATTAAATAATATTAAAAAAAGCTGAAAAATATAATTTTAAATAAAGGCTGAAACAGTATTACAATCAAAAAATTAGCCTATCTTTTGGTAAATATTATGTCGATCAATTTCAGACCAATAAAATTAATCATTTATGTGATATTTCAAAAATAATTATCACAAATTTCAACTAATAATATCACTAGAAAATTGAATGTCCATTATGCTATCTTAACCTAAACCATGTATCTAGGATAATATCTTAGACCCCTAATTTGATTGGTTCATCATCATTAGCCACATTAGTTATTTACTTGTTTATTATCATTTATCATTATTAATAATAATAAATCTTTTTCTTCTTTCATTTTTTCTCTCTTTTTTCATGTTTTAAAAATATATTTAAAAGTTTTGTTAATTAATAAAACTTTAACAGTAGTTCAGGACTTCAAGTGTAAAATATTATTATAAAGTTGTGATATTTTCATTAGTAATTTCATAACAAACGCATTTTTCATATTATATAAGTATTTCACAACGTAAGTTCAACACTTTGGTCAAACTAAATAAATGAAATATGTATAAGTAAAGTTATTCAGCAAGTATGGAAATATTTGCATATTAATTTTTGCGAGTCTAGCTTTAATGATTGTAGAGTTATTAATTTTTTTTGTAATAATACTAAAACACGTTTTGATTTTTACTTTCAGGCGTAATTTTAATACTTTGGTCAAAGTAAACAGCAAAGAGAGCTTAAGTAAATTTGTTCAGCAGATATGGAACTGTTTGCATATTAATTTTCGTAAGTCTAGCTTTAATGGTTGTGGAGTTATTGATTTTTTTGTGATAATACCAAAGCGTGTTTTATAGCATTTAATAATAAAATATAATTATTAATTCTAACATTGATTTTTGGTATATAAAATTCAAATAAATTTTCATTTTAATAAAGCTTATATTTCCAAGATTAAATTGTTACTTTTTATAATGATTTATTGTTAAAAAATCTTTATTTATTCTTTAATGTTTTAGAGTGCATAAAAATACAAAATAATTTCTATTTTTTAATATTTAAAAGTCCGCGCGAAATGCAAAAATAGACAAATATTTTCTAAGATAAATATTACACGAAAATATAATGTAGCTGATGCGAACCAATCATATTTAAGAGAAGGGGGTTTAGGATATTATCCTAAACCCGGGATCTAGGATAAGAGTGCTTAATTTTTTTATGAATGCTCTTCGATCCCTAATCTTTTATCACATGATACACAAATTAGCCAATGAAAACTAGTAATTGTATAACTTAACAGAGTATTGGCCCTGTTCATTTCTAGATTGGATTGCTCAGATCGGCAAAATCAATAACCAATAAAGTTGTAGCTATAATTGAGTACAATTTTTTGATTAGATCAATCAATTTTGTTTTGATGGTTTTAATATGAGTCGCAAAGAACGAACATATAATGTGTTATGGTTACAGCTTTTAGAAGCTGAATTTGAAGATGAAGATAATATAATTTTACAAACTGTTTTAATACAAAGGTCAAACACGATATTTAAACCTCTGAATATACTATGTAACTAAATCAAAAGACTGGTGGCAAAATATTCTTCCACTTTATGATCCTATTCAATTCAAAAAATTTTGCGAATATTTTCACATCATTTTTAACAATTAGTTGATCTTATATGTCCTCATCCTGTATTTTTATCTCAAGGAAATAAACCTCAAATTTGTGTTGAACTTCAATTAGCTGTATTTCTTTGTTGACTTAGTTCTATTAAAAGCTTATTTGAATTTTGTTCACAATTTGAAATAGGAGAAGGAACAGTAATTCTTTATACTAAATGAGTTATTCAAGCAATTGTGACACACAAAAAACTTTTATCAAGTGGCTTACTTTAGAAGAATGTAAAAAAATTCATAAAGTGTTTGAAGATTTAGGAGGGTTAAAAAATATAATTGTAGCAGTTGATAGAACACATATTTTTATGAAAAATATTTCAAACAAAGATCCAGAAGTTTATTTTACTCGAAAAAAATGTTATGCTATTCATTGTCAAGGTATTGTAAATGACAAAGGGATTTTTACTAGTTTTGATATAGGTTGGCTTGCTTCAGTACATAATGCTTGAGTTTTTAGAAATTCTTCTTTTTATAAAGATTATTCTAATCTTATTCAAGTGAATAATTATCTTTTAGGTGATTCTGCATATCCTATTTCTTCCTTTTTAATTCCACTTTTTAAAGATCCAAATTCTTAAAAACAAAAAGATTTTAACCGCTTTTATTCATCTCATTGAATTGTAGTAGAAAATGCTTTTGAAAGATTAAAAGCAAGATTTGGGATATTAAGAAATCTTGATATTAAAACAGTTAAAATGGGAGTTTTGTTTACATTATATGCAATAATTTTACATAATTCTTAGAAATTAATATAGATATTTGAAAAGTTATTTTTAATGATAATATAAATTATGAAAATGATGATATATCAAAATATATAAGAGAAAATAATGATGTATTAAAAAGTTAAAAGAAATTTAATTTACAACATGAGCAAAAAAACTATTCTATTTATACAAAATTAATTTATTACACTTAACTAATTGCTACGCTATAAACTAACTAAATTTGTAACTATAAGTGTTAATATAATAATAATAATAATTATAAGAAGAATAATAATTATAAAGATAATAATAAGTATAATAAAAATAATAAGAATAAGAAAATAATGATAATAATTAAAATAATGGAAATACAGGGAATTAGGAAAATCTAACAAATCATAATAATCTGAAGAATCCAGTAAATCCTAAAAATTCTACAAATCCCCAGAATCCTGTGAATCCTAAAAATCATTAAAATCCAGAATTTTGCAGATCTTCTAATTTGTGATCGATATAAAATTAATTCTAGTAACTTCTGTAGATCATTTAACAATTCTTTATAGATCAACTTTTCAATAGTGAATTTTAGCCAGTAATAACATACCAATATGAGGAAGAGCACATGCTTGAATAAATCCTGCAAATGGACCTATCACTGGTCAGCTCCACTCAAACCATTTTGATATGCCAGGAATAGTTTTAGTTTTTTTTCATTTTGTTTTTTATTGCTAATGTAAATAGTCAAAATTTTTGTCAAATAATATATTACATGATATCGTAGCATTCCAATTTTATTATTTTTGGATTACACTTGAATTTTGATTCTCTTGATATATTATCAATTTTTTTTTTCCAATTTGATCAAAGTGCTTCAATTTTTTTTTATTTTTGTTGTATTTTCTGATTTTCTTCAATTCTTTTTTTCTCAATTTTTATCAATATATTTTTTGTGTTTACAATAAATACAATTTTAACAACAAAAATATGTATCTTAACATATCATTTTCAAGATCACGATTCAGTTCTATATGTGATACTGATATTCTACTTAGAATTTGAAGTGTCATTTCAATATTAGTACCATCAGTAATATCACATCCAATCCTAACGTATTTTTTGATTACATGTGCAATCTATAATTATTGATAAAGTAATATTTGGTGAAAATGTAAAAAAGTCAAATGAATGCATTATATAATAATTTTACTAGCCATTGCATGATGAGAATCGACTGTGGTTTTGGCTTCTCTTGGTTTAAGAAAGATCCAACCACACATTTTCACATTATATCAGTAATGCCAATGACTAATAATCACCATCAACTCTGAATTATGATAAATACCTCTGTTATCTGATATGACCTTTATCCAACAGGGTTTAGTATTCATTATTACAAGTACTGCTTCAAAGCATAACGCTGTGAACTATGCATCTTGCTTTGTATCAATGCTCCAATAATCATACGCTTGAATGTCTAAATTTCTATTGATTTTTTGAAATACAAGAGTAGTATGAAGTGCCCATTCACGCTTACCAAAAAATTCACTCTTGATCTTCCTAGCTGTTGCAGATAAAATTCTCATTTTATAATCAACAATAATAACAGCTCCTTCATTATCTAATTCACGTAATGTAGAATTAAATTGAGAATTTAGATATGCTTTACGGGTTTGATGGGTTAAATAACATTTTAATTATTCTTGATACTCTTGGAGTTTGATATGATAGGAAGTATCAAGTTGGTTTGTTAATTCTTTAAATATAGTAAAAAATGTATCACATTTCTGACATCGTATAAAATGTTATTGTTTGCATTCTTCAAACACAAATAGCAGGCAGTGATTGATACAATCCACATGATCTGTTGTGCCATTTTCATTCATAACTAATTCATCTTTATAGTCATGTTTTAGATGACGGTGTAAAATATCTAAATTGTGAATTAAATTATCTTATAAGAAAAATACAATCATAATTAATTATAAGTTAAAAACAAAATACTAAATACCAAATTATTTCTATTTGATTAAACCCATAATATTTTATCAGAAAAATTCATAGTTATTAAATCAATCAAATTCTCTATAAGTTGATATCCATAGTCATTATACGTTATGCATAATCCTCCCAAATCTTCTCGATATTTAAAATGGCCATTTTGCAAGCGAGTCATAAAAGAAGTATATTTCATTCTATCAGGATATGTAACAGCAAATTTTTTCATAGTAAACCTTTTTGATTTTTTAGATAAAGTATTAGCAATTGTATTTTTGCATCCACCTTATAAGAACTCATATTTACATTCGCCTTATCTGCAAAAAATAATTCAAATTATTGTTAGGGGACTTACATATATGACGTAATTATGGGGGGAGGGGATCCTCAAAAATCTCACCTCTAGATTAGCCAATCATAATAAAGAAGAAGCAAATCACATGATGATCTACATTATATTGCATAAACTTTAAATATATGAGCATCAAAAAAAGTACAAATCCTTTACTTTTTCATTGTTTTGAGAAAAGTATGACGATTTTTTTGGGAAGTATTTTTTTTTACAATTTATGTATTTATCATGGTTTATTGACTTAATGTATCGCTAAAATTTAACAATAGTTTTTATTTATAAATTTATATTGCTTTAAATCCACCCTTAGCTTTGCCTTAACCTTTTTACTTTCTGCTACAATAAACGCTAAACACTTTGTAATTATTCACCTTCTGATTGTATTTCCCGATTATGTGAGGCTAACGCTTGTCTAGCTAATGCAGATGCAACTGAAAAATCGTCGATAGAATTGGTAAATTGCTTTTTTTGTTTGGCTGATCGCCTTCGTCGTTTCAGATGTTGATTTTCTTATGTAGAGCAACGATGGAAAGTGTCAGAAAATATGCATTGCAAACAGAACAACAGAGACGAGTATAAGTATCGAATCAATAGAAGAACAGTGGGCATCATATTCAGGTATTTTGAGTTTATCGCAATATTCTAATATATGAACCAGATTTAAGAAGTGTCTATCTTTACCTTTTGTCACAGGTGGGAGAAACCCATTATTTTCTGCAAGAAGAATGGCCACCTCTTCATGATATCCAGGTGAGCAACAGAGAGAATTTTCACATTTTTTGATGTCAAAAGAGTATTGACATATTTTGGTGTGATTTTCTAGCTATTGCCAGGGTACAGCCGATTCATCATTATTATTTTCTCTGTCACATCCAGGAAATATGATACTACTGAATGGGGAGTTTTTTTGATCGATATATTGCGTTGTGACTGATTTCCCGAAGATAGGATCACATTCCCAAAGAGTACATAAGACCTCACCAGCATAATGCATATTTTTCATTGCAAGCTCTAAATTGCCTACTTGACCCTGAGAATTGAGATGAGAACCATATTTATCGATTGGCAATGTTATGCTAGCTAGTTTTTGAGAGAGTGTTGCCATACTACGCTCAACAGGGTTATATGCTGATTGACCAGGTGCATACGTTCGAACAAAAAGGTAATCAAGATCAAAAGCACGAAATATTCTACAATATTGGAGAATGTTTTTCATATGACGGGGATTTCATCTGGGCCTCCATCAACTAAAGAATCCAAATGGGTTTGATCTGACTATCAACTTTTAGTATCTTATCAAAACAACTATCTTTTGTTAACGAATTCAGATCACTCATATAAGAGGTGAAACTTGTACCAACTTGGTATTGTGGACGTATAAAAATCGAAAGTTGGTCATTACGAAAAGTGTTGTGTGTATTGTTTGAGTTAATGAGCAAGTAGACCGATGGAATAAGCTTTTACTACATTCCAATTGGAAAATTGTGATTGGGTAATGTAACTAGTTCTCAAAAACTCTGCATAGTTTGAAAAGTTCTTCTGACTGCAGGGATACCAAGAGGAATCTTGGCTTTTTCATCCTGGAAAATGATAACAGAATAAGTTAGAAATAAAGCCGCAAATTGTTTTGCTCCTTTTACAGATGCAAAACAATAGTGTTCATCAGGATGTTCTTTTTTTTCATCTTGAGAAATGGAGGCAATGGCAATATTAGCTGAATAGTGATGAGCCTTTGCAGTTATAGAATTTGATCGAGATGGCAGAAGGTAATTACTGAGGTGGTGCGAGAAAGATATTCGTTATATTTTGAATTGAGTTCTTCTTAAAGGTGGCGGATGGTCCTAACTTTAATAGCCTCTTTTCTTCTTTTTTTATTCGCAGCTCCAAACTCGATACATTTGTGTATATGTTCATGCAAATTGGGATATTGAATCAAAAGGGGTGGATGACCAGGTGATTTGTATTGTATTACTTCTTGATGTTCTTATAAAAGCTTTACTTTTTTTTCCCTGCTTTTACGTTGATAGCTTGCTTGACGCTTCAATTTTTTAATCTTATTATCCTCGTTGCGTAAAATTTCCTTAAGATTTGTTATGCGCTCTGCTAAGTTATTCCGAATCTCTAGGTTGTTAGTAGAATTGTAAATTCGTTGAAGTTTTGCAAGCTTCATGTTAGTTGCATTAATAGTTTCTGAGACTTTTTTCTGTGCAGCTGCATTGGGAAGTGGATTAGTATTAGCTACGATTATCTCTTCTATTGGTTGTTGGAAGGTTCAGGTAGCTTGAGCAGACCTTGAGGTTTGAGATGAGTTGGATTGTGAATGATTAGTTTGCAAAAAACCTTGGATTGGAATTGGAATTGCCAGGTATTCTTGGATTTTACTTTCAATTTCTTC